CAACTCCCCCCCCCCCCCCCCCCCCAGCTCACACGTTTAAGTGGCTTTCCTCTCCCTGTGGTGAACAACAATGAAATAAAGAAAGAAAGAAATAATCCCAGCTGCCGGGCCCTTTAAACGGATTTCACCGTATCCATTTCTTTCCCGTTCTTGTGCGTGTGTGTGTGTGTCTGTGTATGTGCACATCCCTGACGTCATGGCAGATTTTGAAGTTGCCCGATGCCGGCCATCTGCTCCTGATTATGGGAGGCCCTGAGCTCCTTAAAATTATACGCAGAAAGGCCGACATCCCCCTCCCAGCCAGAGCCCGGCCATGGTGAGAGCAGGAGAGCACCGGATCGGGCCGGCAGCACATCCCTGCTGGATCCGCTAATCCCTGGTAATCAGAGCGCAGGGGAAAGGCGAGATCGGGGATCTGCACCCAGCAAGAACTGCCATGGAAGGAGGTCGCTTTGCTCTGTACTGGCCGGGCAGCGGTACCTGGTTGTCCCATCAGTTCTAGGAGGTTTGGGGTAGGAGTCTGGGAGGGGTTTGGGGGGTTTTGCCAGAGAGGCTGGGGCAGTGGCTGCAGCTCAGGGGCTCCTGCTCCCACCCGTGCCAAAGCAACAGGAGACAGCTCAAAGAAGGGACCCACAATGATTATACCTTTGGGTAGGGTTGTTGAAGGGTTTTGGGGGAATGAAGCTGGCAAGAGGGGTGAGACCACCGCCCCGTATCCTTCACTTGCTGCTTTGGCAAAGGCCTGCAGATATTTTTGGGTGCCCCTAACTGCAAACTGGCATCTGGCTGCCAGCACAAGCAGAGCCACGAGGTTGAGCTGGCTTCCAATGGGCAAATCCATATGGCCTTGTGCCCTGTGGCCATGTTTGGGGTCCTCCCCACATCCCCCTGCACTCCCAGGACACTGAGCCAGTCCTTGTGCTCCCCTATACCTCAGTTTCCCCATGGCAGGAGTGAGATGAGTCTGCGTGTGACCGCTGCATGCCAGTGCCTTTCGGGGATGTTCCTGGGCACCTTCGCACCGACCCCACTGCATCCTGCTGCCCAGGGTCAGGACAGGGCATGTGGTTGGGCTCAGCCCCATTGCCCACATCCAGGACAGGAGACAGCTGAAATCAGTCCCCAAAAACTGCCTGGCAATTGCAGGGCAATTAGCTACGGCGTGATTACAAGCAGCGTGCTTAATGAGGTTAAACCACTACCTGGGATTTCTGAGTTCTTAATTACCTACTCTTTAATCGCTGCTCTAAAGTACATTAATATAAATGACTGTCTGGGACAAAAAAAAAAGGCAAAATGCGATCTGTGTGAGCTGGGATGCTGCAGAGATAGGGCCCCTTCCCAGGGCTCAGATGGCTTCCAAATCCCCCAGTCCCTGCTGGCAGGGACTGCACCCATCAAAAAGTGCTTAAAAAAATACTTTTCTACCAAAAGTGTTTTGTGCTGGGGGTGGGTGGGCAGAGCCCCCTGCGTGGCCCCCCCTGAGCCTGTCTCTGCTTGTCAGCCTCGTGTTTCCGCTGCCTGGTGGACGTGGTGCCGGTGAAGAATGAGGACGGCGTTGTCATCATGTTCATCCTCAACTTCGAGGACCTGGCACAGCTCATCGCCAAGAGCGCCAGTCGGAGCCTGCACCAGCGCCTGTCGCAGAGCTGGCGCGGAGGTGGGTGTCACCGGGGACGGTGGGGACGGCAAGAGGGCAACGCAGCATCCTCAGGGCTATCCCCATCCCATGGATTTCTTGGGAGCTCGTGCAGGCTGAAGGATGCAGGATCCTGCGCTGTGGGGCTGAGCCCCACAGAGTGCCCAGGAGCAGAGGTTTGTGTTTCTGCACAGCCGCAGCTCCGCTGACTCAGGGACTGATCCAGCCAAACACTAACTGGGTGAAAAAAGGGCTTTTGAGCCGGCTGTGCTCGCCACGCAGCCCCTCGCATGCACACCAGCCCACACACCCCTGCCGAACCACCGGGGACCTGGGGACAGGGGTGGGGACAGACTCTCCTGCATGGGATGGTGCATTTTTAAGGCGAGGCTGTCTCACTGCGAGCAGAGCCATGGAGCCCCTCCACACATCCCCTGCCTTGCTGCGTCCTTTCCATATTTAACGCTGGGAGGTTTTTTCCAGGGGTGCCTCTGGCCCCTCCTGCATACGTGCAGCACCGCATTGGCCAGGGCAGGAGGTGCTGGCAGGAGGTGCTGGTTCGGGACAAGACCCATGTGCAGGATCACCAGGAGGGCCAGGGGATATTTGGTGTCACCGACAGCAGGGCTGTGCTATGGGGACATCACCACAGGCGAATGGCACAAGGATGGTTGTGCTGGGATGGCTCTGAATCTGCCCTGGCTTTGGGCTGTTCCCTGCTCTCCCAGGCTCATCCGGGGTTTTGTGGGGCTTTTGGAGGCAGTGGAAAATTCAAACTCCCTTTTTTGGGAAGGTTGGATCAAAGGGAAACCTGACCTCAGGAAGGAGAGTTGTAGCTTCTAAATATCCTCCTGCTATATGTTCCTCGGTACCAGTCACCTATATCTTAAGCAGGGAAATAATCCCACGTATATCTTCATGCAAACACTCCCTGGGGGTGCAGGTCACTATAGGGAGGCTTGGAGCAGAGCTCAAAGTAAAGCTGTGGGAGTAGGCTGGGTCTGTCTGCCGATGGCATTTGGGGTGGCACAGTGGGACCGGGACTGGAGCCAGGGCCTCATCGGGGACTGATGGGGACCCTTCACGCTGCCCATTGTATTGGTATGGTAATGTGAGTTTTAATGCATTCACACTTGGTGCATATATACATTCTGGAGCCATTAAGGTGTTTGCATGCATGGCAGCGGGTACCAGCAGAGGTGCTGTGTGTGATGACGAGTTTTCTATATCGTCAGGCCAGGCATACGCACATGGGACTTATGGACCTATGCGTGTGAATGTATATATATCCTGTGCATGTGTTCCTGTGTCTATGAAGTGATGAGATTTATATTTTTGGTGTATTGCTGTATTACCAGTTTCCTGCTGAGGAAATCCTAAATTCCAGCACTGGTGCTGCTTTGCAGCCCTCTCAGCTCTCAGTATGTTTCAACATATGATGCATCCGTACCCCATCCCACCCAGAGATGTACCTTTGACTGCAGAAGGCACCCAAATAAAAAGGGTATTTATTGCTTTCCTGCGCGTTGGAGATTGCGCTGCGCATCCTGAGGAGTGTTGCTCAGGTTTCCCACTCCAGCTCTGGGGAGTGTGGAAAGGCCAGGGCTGCTGGCGCCAGCCCAGATCGGTCTCTCATGCACGGGTTTTCTGACTCAGTCTTTAATTACACAGCCACAGGCAGCTGCGTTGCCAGTCCGTGGCTTGCTGGTGCGCAGGAAAAGTCGGCTGCTTTGCTTCTTCCAGCTGAAAAGCTGCTCTGGGCAGTGGGGAGGGGGTGAGCAGAGGGAGCCTGTGTGGGTCCCCCCATCAGCGGGGGCATTTTTGGGGAGCTGGGCAGGTCTGCAGCCTGCCTGAGCAGCTCTGTGGTGTGTCGGGGCTTGGTAAGGGAGGCAAATTGTGCCAAAACCAAACGGCTCCTCAACACGCTGCTTTTTCCCAGAGGACAATGCCTTTGCAGAGCTTGTGTCGTGTCCCACGCGCCCCAGGATTTAGGCCACTTTTGGTCCAGTTAGTGAGTACAGCTGGTGCTGCTGGGGGTCGGATGAACCCCAGGGCTGACCCGGGCCCAGAGGCAGCAGGGCACGAATCTGGCTGTTCATGCTAACCCTGTAGTAGCAGGAGGCTGCGGTCTCCTCCATGGACCAGCACTTAGAAGAGGACAAGTGACTTTGTACCTGGTGTCATGACCAGGGGCACTGGGTCCCACTGTGGGCACTGCTGGTTCCTCTCCACATCTGCCCCTTTTCCCTCCTGAACCTCTTTCGCAGCTCCTTGCAGCCCTGGCTGCCCTGGCCTCAGTCCCAGGCTCCGGTGAGGTGGTCTCCTGGTCCCCCGTAATGGCAGCAAGGGACCACCCCCTCTTCGGTCCAGCATCCCTCACCTAAAATCCAGAACAACTCCAGGAACAAAACTGCTAGAAGTACTTTTTTTAATGCCTTGCTAACTTACCATGTCCTTTGCGTGTTTTTTTTTTTTTTTTTGTCCAAGTCTCACCAAGGAGATTTAGAGGCTCGATTTCCTCCGGGTCCAAATCCCTTAAGTGGCTTTAACCTCTTTAACTGGCTTAGGGATGCTCTGCACCTTTTCCATCTTGCCTCTGCAGTTGTAGGGGACTCTCCTCCAGCCCAGTGGTGCTTTCTGCCAGGTCAGGGTTTGCCTTGAGCACACGGAGATGCGACGGTGCAGGAATAGCAAATGTGTTGGAGGAGGAAGGACCATGCAGCACATACGTCCCCCAAAGCCACCCAAAATTTTCTCTGTAGCCTCTTCCCCCGCCACCGCCCCGACCTGTCTCACTCCAGCCGTCACGTGCAGCTAGGTTACATCTGTCTCTCTTGTGTTTTGTTTTTCTTTTTAACAAGGTCAAGGTAGGAGGTTGAAGTTTAGTCTCCCGTCCCTGCGGCGACTCAAAATCCAGCGGAAATCTCTGCCCACCAGTGAGTTTGATGGAGTAGCCATTGACTATGGAAAGGTAACCGTAGCCTTTGTCTGATATAAGCCCATGCCTCAGGCCAGGTCCCAGCACTCTTCCTCCGCTCTCCCCATCCCGCTCCCCTTGGCTGCTGTGGCTCGGGCCGTATCTGGCGGTAGGGGCTCTGGCGCTGGGTCAGCGCTGAGCACTGGCTCTGGTGAGGGCAGGCGGTGAGCGGCGGTGCTTTGGTGGCATGGGATAGAGCTAGACGGTGCTGCTCCGCGGGGTCAGCCTGGCACAGCATGTGCCATGGCTCGCAGGAGGAGCGGGAGATGTGCCGAGCCGGCGGGTACCACTGCTGAAGCTAGGAGGAAGGTCTGGCTCTGTAGTGCAAGTTGTCTGGGATGGTGAAGCTCCAGGGAGTTGTCCCCACCCCAAGGAGGGGATGTGCCTGTGACTGCAGGAGACTGGAGCGGGTCTGGTCTGAGCAGGGACTTGCAGGCAAACCTCCAAAGGGCACATTGGCCCATGTTATCCTGGAAGGGGCCAGGCAGCGCAGGCAGCTCTGGCTTAGTCCTTCAGCAAAGACTGTGCTTTCCATGACGGAGGCTGATGCTGTCATTGCTGACATGGTAAGATTGGAAAAATGTTGGTGGGCCCTCTTTAGAGATTGCTGTTCTTGGTGGCTTCTTGACTGGCAAAAGTGCTCAAGGTACCTCCGGGCAAAGACGTGTTGTTTTCTGAAATGCTGCAGCTTGAGGCACAGGGCTGTGGGCAGGAGGCTTTTGCTCTGCTAATCCATCCCCAGGCTCTCGCTGTGCTGGGTGTATCCAGACAGCCTGGATAAAGCTGCTTCCCAAAATTACAGATATGATGAGGTGAAAGGTGCCTGTCTTCTCAGAGGTTGTGCTTATGGCAAGCTGAAGACATCTGTAGCATTATCAGATGCTCTGGGTATGTCACTCCTACAGACACGAGCGCTGCTAAAGTCTCTGGGTACCCCCAGGTTGAAGCTGCACGGTGCACTGCAATGTTTCAGGTGTACATGCATGGAAGATGTGCATTGAGGACAACCTGACGACGCACCACTTTGGTGGAGCCTGGTCCAAGTCGGGGCAGCCCAGCAGATGGAGGGGCAGCCAGCAGCCAGCCCCTCCAGGCACCCCATCCTAAAACCTGCAATAAGGTCCTTGGGCATGGTGAGAAGCGGGATGTGCCTTGAGCACACACGCAAAATCCCGGTCCCTCCTGTGGGTATGACTGGTATGGGCATACACCCATAGGTTTCTGCTCCAGACGGTAGTTGCTTTGTGCACCCCATTGCAGAAGTCATTAAAGGCTGGAAACTCTTTAGGTCTCCAGGGAAAAAGGTTTAGCAATGGCCGAGAGGTGCTGCAGAACAGGGAGGACCACATATGGCCCAGTTTGCAAGCCCAGCAGCTCCTCCAGTGCTTCCTGGTGCAGAGCACATCATCTCCCATAGACGCCAGCACAGGACCCCAGGCACCGAACCTCGGTGGTGCCCTGAGCTCTTGCAGTGGGTGAGGGAAGGGCAGGTCCAGTGGTGGGACATAGGGACACCTTGGAAAAGCGCATGGCAAGGCAGGTACTCCAGGCAAGCCTATCCCTAGGGTCTCCTCTTCTCTTCTTGCTCTGGCCTGCTTCCCAGCTGCGCAGCATCGCCTTGCAAACCGCCCCGCAGCCACCCAGCCTCCGGTAGGAGCTGGTAGGAGGTAGGAGCTGCCAAGTCCCTGAGGACTTGGTCGCCTCACCGCAAAGCAGGTCCTGGTCCCGGTTGGAGGTGACCTCAGGAACCACAGCGCTTCCCAGCCCTCTGCCCCTCCTCCTACCTCCCCTGGCTCCCCCTCCTTCCCCCCCAGCACGCGAGGACTCCTTCTAATAAAACGCTTTCTCCCGGCTGTCTTAAAGCCTGGTGGTGACTCCCTGATTTTGAGGGACTTGAAGACATCGCCCAAGGAGAACTGTGTGCAGTCAGAGACTGAATCCCTCCTGGAAAAGGAGCGGAGGCCGAGCCTGGAGGCCGACCCCACCCTACAACACTCGTCCCCGAAACAAGAGCCTCCCTTGCTGGGCCCGCGAGGGTCGTACTCTTCGTGGGGTTTCTTTCGGTCTCGCCCTGGGGGCAGCTTCCACAGCCTCCGCAGGGTCTCCTCCTTGGACAACTTTGAGGCTGCGAGGTCTGAGTTCCAGAGAAAATTCAGGGAAAGGAGGGCAAACTCAGGTAGGGGAAAAAACCCGGAGTTGTCGGTCCTACTGTGGGAGCCATGGTCCCGGGCGATGGCCCCGGCACGTCTCGGGGGGGAGGTCTCTTACCCTGCCCTGCTTTTCCCTCTGCAAAGTGGAGATAAGCTGGGGTCTTCTCCATGTGATTCCCTGCGTAGGCAGGTCCAGCTCTTTGCGTAGAGCCATCCGTGGTGTTGTGTGTGAGATGCGAGACCGCGTGAGGTTGTGCTTGGCTGCCCCACACAAGGGGCATCCCAATGCCATCCCACCTCCCCGGGAGGGAGGGAAGGGGTCTGCAGGTATGTGCAATGTGAGCTGTGTCCACGTGTTGGAGGTGGACGAGACGCCGGCCAGGCCACCCTGTAGGGCTGGAGGAAACGTATCTCCACCATGGTGTTCACGTCTAGACCTCCTGTTCTCGTGAGAGAGATGATGACAAATAAGATGGAGGTCAGACAAGAGAAGCCTCGGTAATTGGGGATGGAGAGAGATCAGTTTGCGGTGTCTGGCTTGAGAAAATGAGGTGGGGGACCATGATCCTCAAATAGTCACAGGTTACGGACCATCAGGAGGGGACACAACATAAAGGGAGGGCAAGAGAATGAGCAGGGAGGAGAAGGGTGGCAGCAGGATAGCTGGTGCTAACTGGGCACCTTCACAATGTCTTCAGACACCTCCTGCCCATGACACCTCTTGGGTCAATGTCAGAGCGCAAGGGAAAGAAGGGGTGGAAAACTGAAAATATGACCCTGCCCTGCCTGTAGGAGATGGAGAGGTTGGGACACACTGGTTATGGTGCTTGGGGATGTTCCTGAAGCCCTGGGTGTGGGTACCTGCTCCCTTCCATGACTACACATTGCCACAAGCCTGACCATGAACCGACAACCTCTGGGGCTTCCTCCCTGGTCCTGCACTGGGGTGACCCAGAGAGGCAGGTCCCCAGGGAAAACTGCTGGTATCCAGCCCCACTACAGCTCTTCTTCAAGAGAAAGCTCTGACCTCCCTACCTGCAGCCTGGGGGTGAATACATATGAGTGGGGACATCATCCAGCTCCTGGCTCAGTTTGGTGGCCAACACCCAAGGCGCAATGTTGGTCAGGCTGAAGCATGCAAGGGTGGAGGAGACCCACCTCCTCCTTCATCTGTTTCCATGCCAGTTTTGGCATCCCTCCCTGATGGGTCTCATTGGGGCTTGTCCCCAACCCAACACAGTCTTCAGCGGTAGCAAGGGATATTGGGTGCCTCTGTATTTTGGCAGCTGGTCTGAGCCCCCTGAAGGAGGTTTAATGGTGAAAAGATGGGTGATGTGTCTGAAAAGCAGCCCAGGTTAGGCATCCCATGTCTGAGCCACCCTGAAGAAGCCAAGCCTTTATGGCCAGGCGGACATTGGTACCTTCTGGCGGCACCTTGTGGTAGTTCCCAGCTCCTGGATGTCCTACACTGAGGTCAGGGCTCTGCGGATTGGCTCCTGCTCACACTGCCCTTCTCAACGCTCCTCTCCATCCTCTTTCAGAGACTTCCCACGTCAAACCCAACCCCCCGAACTCCACCTCGGACTCGGACCTCATGAAGTACCGGACCATCAGCCAGATCCCCCAGTTCACACTCAACTTCGTAGAGTTCAACCTGGAGAAGCACCGCTCGGGCTCCACCACGGAGATCGAGATAATTGCTCCCCACAAGGTGATGGAGCGCACCCAGAATGTCACCGAGAAGGTCACACAGGTACGTGGGTGGTGAGATGCCACCAAGGCAGTGGTGGTGCTGCTGCCGGGGTACAGTCACAACCATTCCTGTGGCTTTTGGAGGAGAGGAGCAGAGAGAGCAGTGACACTTGGAGTTTTCATCCTGGGAAATGCCAGTATCCCTGTGTTTGATTTTTATCTCTTCCTCTGGTTGAAATGCTCTCTTTTGCCCCTAGATCAGTATTTCTGGTAATTTCTGGCTGGGGGAACACTAGCATGAACTGCTCATGGTGTGATGGTGGCGTTGAAGGGGACACACGTGTGTGCTTGTTTGTGTGTGCATGTGGGTTCGTCTGTAGGGGAGGCTCTGGCCACCGTTTCCTGCCCCCCAGCGCCAGGGATGGAGCCCCTGGGGCACCACTGGCCCCCAGGGCACCACTGGCCCCGAGGCGCTCGGCCAGGGACCCCACGCTGGGAGCACGGGTGGCCACGCCAAGGGCCACAGGATCCCCTGGGAGACAGCAGGTGGCACTGCGCTGTCACCAACACGTGTGGCACTGCCCTGTCACTGCAGGGGACACTTGTGGCAGTGCACTGTCACCGAAAGGGACACGCATGGCACTGTACTGTCATGGTGGGGGACACATGGATGTCAGTGTGTGCGAAAGGTCCTGCTGTATTCTGCAGTCCTGAGTACGGAGCTCTTACCAGTGGGGAAACTGAGGCACAGGAGAGCCACGATGTGCAAAATACATCTCAGGGTACCTCCCACCATTGCCAGCAGCAGCTGAGGGACAATTTAATGAAAATGCAGCCATCTGACCCCAGAAAAGCCTCTGGGCTTGACAGTTTGCTCCATCAGTGCGGGACCCTGCAGAGTTTTCCTCCTGTCTCGATGCGGGCAAACCTTTACCCTCGCGGCCTCCATGCACAGCAGATGGGCTCCCTGCTCCCCACTGCACGGCGCAGCTTTTAGGCTTGTTGTCCCCCTGGCTTGTCTCCGTCACCCCCAAGTCCACTTAGTCCCTCTGATCTGGAAGTGACCACAGCAGCATGGGATCAGCCCCTGAATGCCCCAGTGGGACAGCAAGCAGCCTCCATGCCCCCATCCCCATCACAAGGGACACCTACACACCAGGGACCGCTGCTGCGTGCTGGGGTGATGCCGGCACGGTGGCGCCGGCCGCTCAATGTGGGGTCATTAGCTGGTTGCGGGGTGACAGGATCTGAGCTGACGGGTGGTGGCTGCAGGGCCCTGCGGTGCAGCCATGTGGCACCCACAAAGGTTGATCATCCCTTTGCCTTAAATCACCAGACAGGATGGGATGGAAGGGGATGGGACAGACCTCTCCTCCTTGCCGCATCTCCCCATGGCCTCGGGGGACCCAGGCGTCCTGCCTGTCCTCACCCTGATGTCCCCCGTGCCTCCCATCAAGCCACGGCTCCCCACTCCTGGCCGCTAAATAATTCATGGGTGAGGCAGAGACAGTGGCGAGACGCCGCTAACAGTGTCTAAAAATACCGGCTGGCAGGCAGGGAGAGGCAGACACAGGCTGGTCGGGGTGGTCTGGCCCCACAGTGAGCAGGCAGGGAGAGCAGGTCACAAGTGCGATGAAAGTGCTGGGCTCAGTGTGCCAGAGCTGTGGCTTCAGGGCATGGCTGGAGGCACATGGGGACGCCATGGGGTTGGTGTCACCAGGCTGGGGTCCTATCTTGCAGATGGCACCTCTCCCATTCGCCCTGAACTGCCCCATGGGCAGCAGGTGGTGGTGGAGCAGGGCAGGACGGTGCTGGGGACGGGGATGGGGGGGCTGAGTTGTGTCAGGATACATTCTGGGAGGGACACTGGGTCAGTGCCTGCCTGCAGCCAGCACCGTGGGCCTGATCCTGCCCAGCCCCTTGTGCTTGAGAGTCTCCTGGTGACTCTGGCATGGCCCCCCTCCCCAGCTCGGTGTCCTCATCCCCATCCCCAGCACAGGGCAAGGGAGGAGGAAGGCGCGTGGCTGCTGGGCGCCGCAGAGCACGAGCAATGGCCTGGGTTAGCCAGGGCCGTGGGAGCCTCCCCCTCTGTCACCCACAGCCCACATGCACCCTGCTCCCTCCTCCCTCCCTCCTCCTCCTCCTCCTCCCTCCCGTGGCTGCCTCGCTCCCTCGCTTGCCGCCTGGCACCCAGCACCCCGCTGCCAGCACCCCACACACCGCACCATGAGCCTGCGGCTGCAGCTGAAGCCGGTAAGTGCAGGGGGAAGGGGAAGAGGGCAGGGGCACCCAGCAGGATTGCCACGGAGGGCACCTGGCACTGCCACCCGTGGAGACTCCTGGGACCACCCAGACCACCCAAGGGGCAGAGAGGGACAAGGCTGAAGCTGCTCCCTGGCTCTGCGTTGGTTTGGGTGCTCTTTTGAGGGTTGTTTCTTTTCCCTTTTCTGCCTCAAATCTTTGGGGTTCTGGTTTTTTATTAATTCATGCCTGGAAAACAAGGGGGGTTTGACCTGCTCTTGCTTCTGCCGCAAGAGCCAGGTGCCACAAGCAGGGATGAGGGGCAGGGCAGGCATGCCAGTGTGGGGAGCAGCATTTGGGGGCCCGAATTCAGGACTGGCCCCACAGAGCTGCCACCAGCTAGGCAGGATGGGGGGATTCAGCTGCTGAGGGTGGGAGCATTGCTGGTTTTCCCAGACACAAGGCATAGGAGCCTGTCTCGGGTCTGCTGGGCACGTCTTAGCTTTGGGACCAAGCGTTTTACTGATGTTGCCTTGTCCCCTTCCCCGCCGTCCCCATGGGAGCTGGTCCCCAAGCCCAGCCAGTGCCTCATTCCCCTCCACAACGATTGCGTTTGGGTCACTTTTTCCAATCCCTCCCCTCTCCGTCTGCCAGCAACATCAGCGGCTCCCACGGCCCCATTGGCACTCTCATCCCCACCGGGGCCCCAGCATCGATTGGGTTTGATTAATCCACGCCGGACTCCTGAATGCCCTTCGCAGCCGCATGTCTCTCACTCGCCTGGCCAAGTGCATGCGTGCCTGCATGGGTGATGCTGCGGTCCCAGTGCTGCGCCCGCTGTGCTGGTCGCTGCCTGGGCGTGTGGGGTTGGGGGCCCCCATGGTGGACACCCGGACTTCAAGGGCCAGCTCCCGCCTGGGGCACCGGGCAAGCTGCAGGCAGGTAGGAGCTGGACTCCCCCCGCCCAGGGCATGGGACCCACCAATGTCCCGAGGCTGCAGGACGTGGGAGTAGCTGCTCATGGTGGGATGGGGCTGCGGGGCTGGATCTGCTCTGGGTTGCAGCACCAGGAGCCCTTGGGAAGCTCTTGAACTCTTGAACAAGACGGGTGTCAGTGCAGGAAGGATCAGGCCCTTCTTTGCGATCTGTTGCCAGAATCGTGGTGGTGCCCATCACCGTGGCCTTGGGGCACGTGGAGCCTCCTCTCTCCTCTGCAACCCAGCAAAAAGCACCCTTTTAGCTGGGGGCTCAGTGCGGGGGGAGAGGGCACTGAGGTGCCCCTCGCCCTCCTCCACAGGTGGCACTGATGGCCAGCACCGCGGGGACACGCGGGGGACAACAGAGCAGCAGGGGCAGGCAGGGAGGCTCCAGCTGCCCCCAGCTCCAAATAAGCCCCCTCCTGCCACCGTCTCTCAGCATCCAAAGCAGGACAGCCCCAGCCCTCCCAGTCCCCAGCACCTTGCGTTGCGTCCCCAGGGTGGCTTCAGAGCCCACCAGGAGGTGGCATTGGTCCTGGAGGGGGCAGGTGGGACATGTGGGGACTCACTGGTGCTGTGGGAGCGTGGCCCCATGAGGACAGACAGACCTAGGGACACATGACAATATGGGAGGGTGCCTGCGCGCATGAGATGGTGTTTGCACGTTGGTGGCTGCAGGTCACCCCCTCCCTGGGGATGCTCAGATGGGAAACGGGCACTGCCCAAGGTCAGGCTTTGCTGTGGGTGGGTGGCCCAAGCTGTCCCCTCTGCTTGGAAGACAGCTGTGCCAGAAGGACATCAAGGGGAAGGTCCCTGCTGGGGCTGAGAAAGGCACTGTGCCAGGCTTGCGGGATGCCTAACATGCCATCACCTTTGGGGTGAGGCCATGCCACAGGCACGGGACTGCATCTCCAGGCTTGCTGTCCCCAGAGCCCTGTGCCAGGGACATGCAGCCGCTCCTGGGCTGGTGGCACAGAGCTGAGGGCACAGGGAGGCATGGCAGGAGGCACTTTCCTCCCTGCCAGCATGGTAGGGTCTGAAAGGCATAAAGTGGGTAAACACTTGCCCCAAGGGTGCTCTGGCCATTAGAGATGGACAAGGAGCCAGGCAGACCTTGGTGTCAGCCAATAGTGGGCAACTCACCTTGTGGCCTCCTGGACAAACACACATGAAGGTGACAAAAGTGAAAAGGGTGTAGGAAACCCACTGCATGCTCCTCACTGCCCTACCAGCACATGGGAGCCCCTTGCCTGACTCCTGGCCTTATCCTACCTCTCTCCTGGTCTCCCATCCTTCTCACACCCATCTCCTGGCAGGTGCTGTCCCTGGGTGCTGATGTCCTTCCTGAGTACAAGCTGCAGGCACCACGCATCCACCGATGGACCATCCTGCACTACAGTCCCTTCAAGGCTGTGTGGGACTGGCTCATCCTTCTGCTGGTCATCTACACAGCTGTCTTCACCCCCTACTCGGCTGCCTTCCTGCTCAACGAGGAGCAGGTGGAGGAGAAGCACTGGGACTGCAGCTACTCCTGTGACCCACTCAACATCATTGACCTCATAGTGGACATCATGTTCATTGTGGACATTATCATCAACTTCCGCACCACGTACGTCAACATCAACGACGAGGTGGTGAGCCACCCTGGCAAGATTGCCATCCACTACTTCAAGGGATGGTTCCTCATCGACATGGTTGCTGCCATCCCCTTTGACCTGCTTATCTTCCGCTCCGGCTCTGATGAGGTACACGGAGGGCCTGGAGGTTCATCAGGACAGGAGGGGACTCATGGATGGATGGGGAGAGATGTATGGGAGAAAGAGAGGGATATATTGATATAAGTGGTGGATCTGCAAGGAGAGGGGTGGTTAGTAAGAGGGATGGGTAAGGATGTCATTACAGGTTTTTATTAAGCAGCTGGGACCTGGGATTTTATTTAGTAGGGTCAGACAGCCACACAGACCCTACTGTAAGTGCTAAGATAGTGTCTAACTGGACCCAATCCCCTTGCTGGGGCTGACCCAGCAGAGCAGGCTGGGAGGTCAGTTTAGGGACTGTCCCCACATGCCAGCGAGGCCAAATTTGGGGTCACATTGCCAGCCAGACTCAAAATGTTGGCAATGGGATGGCCCCTGTGGTTACTGCGCTACCTGAAGGCCCCACCTCGGCTGAGAGCCCGTGGGATGAGGTGACAGGCGGCTGTTTTGGGAGCAACGGTTGGCAAGGTGAGGACCCATCAGGAAACATGGGGTTGGCCTTGGCTCCTCTCGCTTGCTCACCTGTAATCCCAGGGCTTGTTCCCTTTATGGTCAGTGGAGGGAAACTGCCCGTTCTGTGGCATGATTCATCTAACCTATTTCAGATGTCACCTCCAGGACAAGGTGATTCATGCTCTAGAAGTGCATTTGCATCCTTCAAAGGGAGCATGGCTAGGCTGGAGACGTGCCTTTGGCCAGATTTCTCTCCTGCTTGTCCCTGAGGTTTCTCACCTCTCCCCTGCAGACCACCACGCTCATTGGCCTCCTGAAGACCGCCCGGTTGCTGCGCCTGGTCCGCGTGGCCCGCAAGCTGGACCGCTACTCTGAATATGGAGCAGCCGTGCTCTTCCTGCTCATGTGCACCTTCGCTCTCATCGCCCACTGGCTGGCTTGCATCTGGTACGCCATCGGCAACGTGGAGCGGCCCTACATGGAGCACAAGATTGGCTGGCTGGACAACCTGGGTGACCAGATTGGCAAGCGCTACAACGACAGTGACCTCTCCTCTGGCCCATCCATCAAGGACAAATACGTCACTGCCCTCTACTTCACCTTCAGCAGCCTCACCAGCGTGGGGTTTGGCAACGTCTCACCCAACACCAACTCCGAGAAGATTTTCTCCATCTGTGTCATGCTTATTGGCTGTGAGTGCCTGCACATGTCCCGCTGTCCCCATCCCTGCCTTGGAGGTTGCAGGGGCTGCTCTGGGGAGAAACAGGGAGAGACCCAGGAGGCTGTAGCATGTGGGGTTTTAAGAGAGCATCTCCCTCTGCCTGTGCCTCTTCTGCACAGATAAATGGATGGAGAGATAGATAGAAATACGGATTTCAGAAACCCACTGGTTTCAGGTCCGTGATAGATACGGGCTTTGGAAACCTGCTGGTTCCAGGTCTGAGGTAGATGGACACGCATCTCCCCATGTCCTGCTGAGTCCTGCCCTCTCGTTGCAGCTCTTATGTACGCCAGCATCTTTGGCAATGTCTCCGCCATCATCCAGCGCCTGTACTCGGGCACGGCCCGCTACCACACACAGATGCTGCGGGTTAAGGAGTTCATCCGCTTCCACCAGATCCCCAACCCCCTGCGTCAGCGCCTGGAGGAGTATTTCCAGCACGCCTGGTCCTACACCAATGGCATCGACATGAATGCGGTGAGTATGGGGCAGGGAGGCCCCATGTCCTCACAGCACCTTGTCCTGAACAACCCAGAGTCCAGGTCTGGGTCCACCCAAACATTTCCATCCTTTCAACCCGGGTGGAGAGGAGGCAGGAGAAGACTTGGGAGTCTGGAGACATAGTCTGTCTGCCCGTCCGCCTCCTGCATCCCCCTTTCTCCTTGTCCCTCCACATCTGTCCATCCCTCCACATCTACCCAGAGGTTTTCCGAGGCCATGACGGCATTTTTTGGCCGGAGAGCGGGTTTGGTGGTGCTGGTGCACTTGTGGGGAGCTCAGAGCCCCCATCGGCACCGAGTGCTTTCAGGACAGTGTCTGTTGGTGTGACAGAGCCGTGGAGCCGGTATCGATCCAGCTCCTTTCCACACCGCCGGTTGCTAAGCAAAGTGCATCCCGCTCTCGGTGGCAGGGAAAGGAGGGCATTTAAATAAACCTCGATCCATTTTAATTAGAGCCCGGAGAGGCGGCTGTTTGTTAGCAAAGGGGGGATCAATGGTGGAGCCACGCTGGAGAGGCGCCGTGTCTCTGAGCCGGCGGGGAGGCTTCTGCCAATGGCGCCAGGGCACTGCGGGGGTGAGGAGGGGGCTCAGCTGGGGAGTTCCAGGCTGGGGCCAGGGTGGCAGGACTCAGGTCACAGCCACAGGGTCCAGTGCACAAACATGCTGGCTTGGCCGGCTGCAAGGCAGAGAGAGGAATGAGAAAGGACAAGGCAAGGAGAAAGATGGGACCTGGACTCCCCATCTCTCAGCCCTGGGCAGGCCATTAGCCCACTCGTTCCCAGCTCATGCTCCCTTTTTTCCTATGACTTGATCCTTCTCCATTCCTGGGCACTATCAGGACATGGATTAGCATGAATTCAACCTCTCAGTCTTCAGCTGCTGCTGCCTTGTTAAACAACTGGGCAGCATTTGGGGGTTTGCTGCTGGGAGAGCTTCGGATTAAACCTCTCCCATGGAGGTGACACCCTGGGCTGGACATTGGTGGAGATAACTAGAAGCAAAGCCATGGCACCCTACCAAGCACAGGTTCTCGTGGCTTAGTGCAAACCCAGGTCACAAATCCCTGTGATGAGCTGAGCTTGCGGCTTGGATGTGCCACCGCTCACACCAATTCCCGCTGGATGCTGCTGAGACGCGATACGATCTAATCAATCATCCCACGGCCCGATCAATTTGTCCACCCCTGATTTCCCAGTAGGGAAACTAAGGCACTGCCGCCAGCCTGTGAGATCATGACAGAGCCAGGAATGAGCTGCACTCACCAGCCCCAGCCCGGTTGTCCCAGATTCGGCCACCAGCAGGATGTGAGAAGAGAGCAAGGGGGACCCTGCGGCCGCACACTGCTCTCCAAAAAAAACCCAAACCCAGGTGGATTTTACCCTGACACCACGAGCCATCAGTGGCAGCAGCTTTCTCCATATTGCGAGCTTTACCTTGATTTCACCTTCAGATTTAGTTTTTGTTCAATGCAAGGTATTTGCCACGGGTATATTTAGCTGTTGCTGCACACAACTGGCCTGTGCTGCTTTTTGGCATTCAAGCAGGTGCTGTTTAATTAGGACAGCACCTCGTTACCAGTTTGTGCTCTCATTCAGCCAAGATTAGTGGGTGGAAAGATGAAAAGGGGGATATGCCACCAGTGGGTATAAATAGATTGATCTGGTTATTATTATTATTTATTGCTTGAGAGTGCTCTCATCCCCGGCTGCATGCAGTACAAGCCAGGGACAGGCAGGAAGGCATGCACCAAGTGAAGATCAGAAGATGTCCCCAGCTTTGCTTTCTGGGCTTGGGGGCTCCCCATTTGGCCCCGCTGTGTCACCCTGCGTGTCGCACAGCCTCCTGGGACTGCCACAGTGGTCCTTCCCAGGGACGGTGCCGTGATGGCATCTCTCCCTCGCTCTTCACAGGTGCTGAAGGGTTTCCCTGACTGCCTGCAGGCAGACATCTGCCTCCACCTCAACCGCACGCTGCTCCAGAACTGCAAGGCTTTCCGAGGAGCCAGCAAAGGCTGCCTGCGCGCTCTGGCCATGAAGTTCAAGACAACACACGCACCGCCCGGAGACACCCTGGTGCACTACGGAGATGTCCTCACCACACTCTACTTCATCTCCCGGGGCTCCATCGAGATCCTCCGGGAAGACATTGTGGTGGCCATCTTAGGTGGAAAAGTCGTTCCTTCTGGGAGGGCGAGGGGCAATGGGCAAGGGGCAAAGGGTAACGGGTGAAGGGCGATGGGCAATGGCAAAATAGGTGAAGGATGATGGCCGATGAGCAGTGCACAAAGGGTGGCAGGTGAGGGATGAAGGACTTCTCTGTCCTGGAGAAGGGAAGGCTGTTCCTCAACATCTGGCTGGTGACTGCATCAGTGGACAGGGGATGGAGGATCCCCTGTAAATGCCAGGGAGGGGCCACAAAGGAGTGAGGAGAGCAGGGTATGGCTCAGGAGTCCCCAGCTGTCTCTGGTGACCCGCTGCCCTGGCTCAGTCTCCCCATCAGTGATGTCTTTCATGTCGTAATCCCCAGCAACCACAATCAGGGTTGGGGTTGCTGGGCATCCTCTTGTCCAAAGTGAGGTCTGCTGGTCCAGTAGATTTGGAACTGGGGTGGGTGCCCACCTCCCCCTAATGAGCTGTCTGTTGGCACAGGGAAGAACGACATCTTTGGGGAGCCCATCAGCCTCTACGCCCGCCCAGGGAAGTCCAACGCTGATGTGAGGGCCCTGACGTACTGCGACTTGCACAAGATCCAGCGGGAGGACCTGCTGGAGGTCTTGGACATGTACCCAGCCTTCTCTGACAACTTCTGGAGCAACTTAGAGATCACTTTCAACCTGCGAGATGTGAGTGCCAGGGCTGTCCCACAGAGGGATGTGGTCAATGCCTTAAATTTGGCAAGTGAGGATGTCAGCCTGTGCTCTTCACTCAGTTTGGTGTTGGACTGGCCAACAGCCATGTTTCCCAAGGCACTCTCCATGGGGCTACAGTTTCTTCCATAGCCCAGCAGAAACGTGCATACTGCACATTCCTGAGCTCTTTGGAATAGTTGGCCCCACAAGCCATGTCAGTAGTACCCTGCTCTGCAGCACCTGTAAATCATCTGCGGGACTGCTCCAGTGTGGGCAAGGGGGTCACACACATGTTTGGAGGCTGCTGAAATATTCTCAAGCTTCACTGAGCTGGGTACCAGCTTCCTCTGAAAATTCCTTTTTAAATAATCAGATTTGCAATCCATGAAAGGCTTGGAGTATTTTTGCTTGTATGACTCTTAAACTTTATGACTGGACTTTGTCCTTTCCTGATATTTTTTTCAGAGACACTTGCCTGGTAAGACAGAAGTCAAATTCCCTCTGTGTCCTGTCCCACCCCAGGACATCCTGCCCCACCTCAGGGTGCTCCTTCCCTCCCCATGGCCCTGACAACCTCAACTCAGTCTCAGAGCCCCGAGGCCAGCCTCTAGGATCCCTTGAGCTATGCCACCAGTCCAGGAGTCACTGGGTGCAACAGGGCAGTGGTGGAGAGCCAGAGCCGGAGACCAGTCCTAGGAGGATGCTGAATGGGCTGTGGCCCCCATGGCACCCAGGGCCATGGCACCCAGGGCCATGGCACCCATGGATGGGACGTGGCACCTACGGATGGGACATGGCATCCATGGATGGGCCTTGGTGCCCATAGATGGGACATGGCACCCTTGCCCTGGTGACTAGCCCCTCTCATCCCTCAGGCAGACAGCGTTCCCCGCTCACCACTCAGCGAGGAGTATGACTGCACCTACCGGCGGACGCGCCGACGCAAGCATTCCCTTTGCCAGCCCAACAAGCCTGGTGAGTCCCACAGCATCGGCAGGGCCTGGCTTGCAGGGCTGGGGAGCGGGATCATCATTTAATTACTGCCCAAGCAGGCGCCCCAAAGCAGAGATGGCTGTCAGTGCCTCTGTCCCTGCAGACCAATATGTCCCCGCCCTGGGGGCACCCACGCTGCCTTCCCTCCCTGTCCTTAGGGTGCTCCAGCCCTACAGGCACACTAGAGGGGATGGGGACTGATTTTGCCATGTGTGGTACTCCCCAAATTAACCTGTTGTGCTGCCCCACAGACCCAGACACGGGCATCTCTGATGCAGAGCAGTATCACACCTACTCAGAGCTCACCAACCCGCAGGACCCACTGAGTAAGGACCAGTGGGACGACCTGGGCAGCAGCACCACTCCCTGCTCCCAGACCAGTGATGACAAGGCCAAGACTGGCAGCCCTACGAAAGCTGAGCCCTTCCCCACATCCAAAAAGGATGACTTTGCTCTGCCCACGCTCAGCCTCATCACCACCAACACTGGCGGCACGGAGGTCGGCAAGCAGGCGGCAGAGAGCAGCCAGTCCTACGCAGGTACCCACAGCTGCAGCCAAAGCTGGCAGGAGGGTGGTGAGAGATGCTTGGGCATGGTGGCCTGGTCTTGAGGCAGAGCCAAGCAACTCGTGTGGATCTGAGGGGAGCCACGCTTGTGGCCAAGGGTTTTTGCTGCCTTTTGTCCCCAGAAGTATCCACTCTGTCCCTCCTGTGCCCTGCAATTTCTCCTAGCACCCGGGGACCCCTTTGGGGCTGCCCCAAGGGGCCAAATGCTATGTGCTTCCATAGGTGCGTTGGGTCCCAGTGTGATGGACTGTCCGTGAGCACCTTGGGTGCCGGGGTGATGGATCCCCATAAGCACCCCAGGTGCTAGGGTGATGGACTCTCCCTGAGCACCATGTATGTCAGGGTGATGGCTCTCCATGAACATGCTGGGTGATGGACTCTGCAGCACTTCCAGGCGAGTGGGGCTGGGGGATGCAAGACAGAAGTGCTGAAATGTCTCCTCTCCTTCCAGCCACCCCCCTGGACATCCCCAACATGTTCACCTTCTGGGAGGACCAAAGGCCGAACCACCACTTGGAGCCTTTGCAACACATCTCCTTGGTGCACAGCTCACGGGACATCCCCCTGCACAGCGACTACAGACCGGGGCAGATCGAGTCCAGGCTGGAGCTCCTGCAGGCCCAGCTAAGCAGGTGGGTAGGTCCCTGGGGCGCAGGGTTGGAGAGTACCCAGGGGGGCTCTGGGCCATCACCTTCTCCTGCTCTCCAGGGGTGGCTGCTGTGGGCTCTGTGAGCAGCAGATGCCACCTCCTGACCCCCTGGGACCCTACATTCCTTGGGGAGGTGGTGGGGGCGCTTTGCAAATGCAGCAGCTTCTCAAACTGCAAGTCCTGGCCCTGGCTGCAGCCCAGCACCTCGTCTGCCACTGTCCCACCACCCCTGGGATCTGCCACTTTGCCGCTGCCTCCAAACTCGATGCAATCGCAGACATGAAACCACCCACAGGCTCACAACCTGAGCCCTTTGCAGGCCTCCTCTTCCTGTTGCGAAGAGCTGCAAACATTCTCTTGCTCAAGCAAATGAGCCTCAAGCACACTGTTGCCCTCTAAAGAAGAAAAAAGACATGATTTTTGAATGAGAAGGAAGAGCCCACACCGGAGATGCAGGTTTAAAGGCCCCAGGCAGCACCCACACGAGCAGCTGGTCTCCCACCCACAGCTGCTGCCCATGTTAAGCTCACTTCACCACAGTGCCCACACACGTATTTCAGTGTCTCGCCAACGTGCCATCCCCGGCAGCAGGGGACATATCTCCTGCCCACTCTGTAAGCACTGCCAGGACCGTTGCCTGCGAGGGGGGCGATGCCCACTCCTGCCAGAGCTGCTCGTTTCAGTCAAGGACAAGGCAAAAGGAAGAGACTTATTCCACTTTTCCATTTGCTTCTGTTCTTCAGTTAGAAATGGTTGGCACCAACCTGCCTTGCTCCCATCTGTCAGCACAGGCAGCTGGCCTGGAGAATTGATCCAGATTAAAACTAACCATTGCAATTTTTTTCCCCCTCTGGGGTAGTTTTAGCTTCGTTCCATTCCCTGCTCCAGATCCCAGTTTGGCTCCACAAAAAAATTGGGCAGGGGATGATTGAGTGTGGCAGGGGAGAGATGGCAGGACTGATCTCTGTGTGGCAGCGCCGGTTTGAAGCTCTCTAAAAACCTCACCAAGCAGCACTAGGCAAAGCATCATCACCCTCGGGCAGCTGAATCGGCACCTCCTCCCCAGTGCCTCCCCTGCCTAGCTGCAGATCTGGCTCTCGTGGATGCAGGAGGATGCACTGCGCTAATGCTGGGCTGCTCTGTCCCCAGGCTGGAGTCCAGGATGTCGTCAGACATTAATATAATCCTCCAGCTCCTGCAGCGCCAGCTGTCCCAAGTGCCACCCGCATACAGCCCCATCTCACCGTCCTCCCACAACCTGGCCATGTACGGCATCCTCCCGCGGAGCCTGGAGCCGCTCGCCCCCTGCGCACCCCTGGAGGAGCAGGAGACAACAACCCCGGAGCAGGTAAGGCCACCCCTCCCGGCTCAGCACCGGCCAAGCTTCCTTCTGCCCCAAGCAGACGGGTCCTGGAGGGGCAGCAGTTCCCTCCAGCCTCTCTGCAAGCAAAGCACAGCCAAGCACTCATGGGTCCAGGCAAATCTCCAGCACTACCAGGTTGCCCCATCAGTACGGAGGGGAGGGGGTTCCTCTGCTCTGAGGCTTCCTCAGGCAAAAAATAACATTTTGGGGCTTAGGGCCTGATGGGTGAGGAGAGAGTGTGGCTACTTTATTTTGCTTTTGCCATGACCCACCTGCTTCCTCTTTTCCCACCAGAGCCTGAGCTACACGGAGGTAGAAAAGTTCCACTTGAAATCCAGGGACTCCTTGTCAAGAGGGATGCACCTCGCTGTGGCATCCGATGAGACCATGACGGTCTACTCCGAGCAGGAGCACCATTCCCCACCTCTCCCGAACCCAGAGCCTCCCCACCAAAGGGCACCAAATACCCAGGGACTCTTCTGGGGCTGTCGTTTCCCTTCCCTCCCTGAGCACTTGGAGGCATCTTCCGAGCACCAGGACATTCAGAGACACCTCTCCGACCCAGTGCTTCCTGGAAGTTAGAGATGTGCAGGCTGCGAAGCAAGTCAAGAGGAACCTCAACTGCGAGCTCGGTCAGTTGATGTTGATTTTGACTGCAAGGGTAAGACGGAGGACAATGCCATTGGCTCAGGGGTATAATTTGTAGCTGTCTTCTGCCACAGTCAAAGGAAGCGTAGAGTGGCTGGCTTCCAAGGTCAATGTTTTCCAGCGGTTCCCATAGAGTAGATTTCATTTGCACATTATAGCGAACCCAGAGCAGTTCATTCTTATGGCCACCAACAAGCTGGCTAGGCCAAACGGTACCCACTGCCTCTTCCTTGCCAAGGCTTCCTTTCGAGCACAGCACAAGCCAAGTGAGCCACAGCGACCGGAGGAGAGCAAATCCATGGCTCTTCACTGCGAGGCCACTTTGCTGTCAGCTCTTTGGAGCAGGGACCATTGCGTTGGTACTGGGCTTAGCCCAGCGGAGCCTGTGGGCATTACAGAAAGGGTAGTCACCAGAGGAGGAGGAGGAGATCTCCACAGTGCGGTACTGGGGGGAGCTGCAGGTGGGAAGCCCAGGACAAGGACAGAGAACAGAAGCTATCCTTGTCCTACTTGACTGCCACTGAGAAACTAAGGGCCAACAGCCCCTGCCACTTCACAATGCTTCAGCACGAGTCCTAGGGCACTGACTTCTCCAGCAAGGCTGGTCGCGCCTTGCAAACCCCAACACGCATCCCACAACTCCACAGATAAACCAGCCTGGGCATAAAGCACAAAACTCAAAAGCACAATCCCGGAAAGCCGAAAAGCCCCAGACGCCTCATCTCCAGCCCTTCCTCCCAGCTTCTCTCTTTTGATAAAAGTTTGATAGATGCTTCCTCCTCCCCAGCCCTTTCCCCGGCAGACTCCCGCAGCATCCCCCGTAGGAGAAGCCCACTTAGCACTGCCGCCTTGCCGTTCGGTTAGATGCTGTGACAGTCCTAGGCCACCTGCTCAAGTAATGTATCGAGCTCCCTTTGAGAGTAGTAAAACTGTGAGCATCTCTTTCTCTGGAGTTTTAGTGTACACTTTGCTAATAAAGATGTTTTTGGCACCTAATGTGGATTACAGCTGTGTTTGTTGAGAGCATCCGTGAATTCACCCCTGGCAGTACAAAGCACAGGTGCTAACCTGCAAAGACCCCTGAAAAGGCTGTGGTCAAACCCCAGCTGCTTCATCCAGGGAGCGTGGGGCTAACGGAGCCCCCGTGCAGGTCTTACAGGCGAAGGATGGGGCCTGGGAGGGGTTTGCTGAGCAATTCCTTCCCGATAGGATGCAGTTCAGGTTCA